AGAGCAGGCCCGGGGCCACCGCTGGCCGCGCGTCCGTCTAGGCCTCTCCCGGCGCGGGGACGATCGGGGCCGTGGGAGGGTGGGTCCGCCCCACTTGTTTACAGACCTGGCGGCCACGACTGGCTGCCTGGTGGGCCTTTGCCACCTCTCTTCCGCCAGATTCCTCAACTTTTCCTGCCCAGCGAGTCGGTGAGCGGGGTCGTGTTTCCATTTTGCGGTAGGCCCTGAATACTTGGTTTCATTGCCACAAGTTAGTGCTGGTCTCAACTTGGATTTCGGGCCCTTGGCTGGTACTTCTTCTGCGGTGGTCTGTTATTCTGTAAAACCAAGGTGGGGGCGGGTGCCGAGGAGGAGCTGGAACTTGTGGAAAGGTTGTCTAGTCAGTCCTCCATTGGCAATAAGGATAGCTCAGTGCAAGTATCTGTTATTTTCTGCTATGGTTTGGTGCAGGTCATTTCACAGTCGAAAAAGAACTACAGCGAAAACTTAACGTTACGCAGAGGGGACGAGAGTATAAGTCTGGAAGTTTGAACCGGCCCATCATCTTCGAGATAACACTGGTGTTTTGAAACTCCCTTGGCTGAGAATTTTGTATTTCAGTCGCTCGATTGTTCTTAACACTGCAGACTACCCGAGAAAGCGCCTCCCTCTGTCCTCGATGCTTCGGTCTCATAATCGATCAGTGTTTTTGTTAATAAGTGCACAAAATTACTGTTTTAAGAACAAGGTTGAAAAGGAATTTTTAATTCTTGGAATTTAAAAAATAATGATTCGTGTACTTGGCGGTCTTTTAGTTGACTTCCTTATCACTAGCGCAACTCCCAGGTACCCCTATGTTGATAAAACACTGGTGAGTCAGTGTACAGACTATAACTCAGGGAAAACTAAGCAATTGTGATCTTCGCTTGTGCCAAGAGCCTTGGGAAAGTCTTCTAAATTGTGTTTGGAAAAAACAAAGCTGCATATGGCCTCCAGGTTATTATTTTTAATTAAATGAGGTAATACTAAAAACATTAGAACTTGATTCCTCTTGATTTTTGGCTTTTAAGGTAAGCAGTCTCTTTACACCAAAATTTCATAACATTGTTTTTGTTGGGCCAATTAAGTAGTGTTAGGACGGTAGTGACACATTTTATTCTTTCAGGGAGGATTCAATTTGAATATCAGGGATATTTATTTCTGTTGCCGTTTTCAACATCTTTTATTTTTATTTTTTTGGTGGGGGGTTGAGACAAGGTCTCACTACGTAGTTGAGACTGACCTGGAACTCACTATGTAGCCCAGGCTGGTCTGGAACTCACAGCAATCCTCCTGCCTCAGCCTCCCAAGTGCTGGGATTATAGGCATGTGCTCCCACGCCCGGCTTCAACATCTTTTATTAATACGTTAGAGTATTGGAACCACCCATTTATTTACTTTTGAAATGTGCTTGCGTTATTGTGATGCACTCATTCATGGCAGTGTATTTTAAGTTCATGGCCTTGATCCAGATATGTACAGTGATATGGGTTATGGCCTATCACATTTAAAGTCTGAAGATTAACATAGTCTTAGTTACACAATGTTTGAAGTAAATTGCTTCATATTGTAATTGATACAGTGAGAACCATTCCATGTTCTTTATACTTGTTGCTTTTAGAATAAATGTGAACTAAGGAAATAGGAGCTGCAGAAGTGAAACACTGACATTTTATTTAACTTGGTTCAGTTTTGTTTGGGCATTGCTGTGTGCCTCCATTCCTCCTCTGGTAATAGCATCTTTATCTGGACTTTGAACATTTTTTTCCCAGTGATATGGTGTCTCGTTTGGAATATTTGTGTTCCGCGTGTGCTTTGGGTAAATATCTTGCACATTTGAACACTTAAATTCTCATATTAATGTACCACAGAAAACTTAATAAATGCAAAACAAAGTTCAAGCTCCTTGGTGTGGTGTTCAAATTTCTGGTGTGGTAGTTTGACACTGATCTATTCAGTTTTAATTCTTATTTCTTCCTTTTGTGAATCTAGTTGCAGCCATACTAAGTTGTTTGTGGTTCTTTGAAGTTCCTCCTCTTGGCTTTTCTTTTATGCCTTTCTCTTTCTCTTTGAAATCCTCTTCCTCTTGTGTTTATTGGATACTCTCTGGGCTGACTTAAGTGCTCTTCTTGAGAGACCTTTTTGACAACTTTAACCCCAAGGGATCTGTTCACACACACCCCCCACCGGGGATTGAACACCTTGTGCTTGCAAGATAGGCGGTGGCACCGCTGGGCTAAATCTCTGGCCCTCTATTCACTCTTGTGTGACACTTTCTCCCTTTTTTACCCTTATTCTAGTGTGGATTTCAAATTTTTTTTTTTAATATTGCTTTCCAACCACATTTTTAGTATATGTGCTGCCGAAGCGAGCAGTCCAACTAGATTTTTGAGACCTTTGTAAAATGAATTTGTGTCTATGGAGACCTTATATTCAGCACTGAAAATATGGATACATGATCTGACAAAGTATTTGTGGTTATAGACGTATTGTGGGATACACAGTTTGTTGTCTCTCAACTATTAAGAATTTCTGGAACTTTGCTGGCTTATGGGGCAAAATATTTTGGACTTTTTTTTTTCAGTACTGGTGATTGATCTCAGGATCTCAAGCTTGCAAGGCAGGTGCATTGTCACTGAGCTATATCACCAGCCTGAGACAAAATATTTTAAATGATGTCTCAGAATATTTGGTCAGTATGTTTATATTATTAGCACAATTCTCTATAGATGATGCTCAATATTTTCATAATGATCAAGTGAAAATACCACACTTGTTTCTTTCACATTTGAGTCTGGGGCATTTACTTGGTTTTATTTGCTACCAGTGACAGCTAAGATTTTATAGCCATTCCTTATTTGTGTGTATATAACATTTATCTTCATAGGAAGGAGAAAATCTGTAGCTTCAGTTTGCTGCTTAACCTCAGATGTTGGCAATGTGTGTTGTTAATCATAAGGTAGATGAAGCAGGAGAATATGTGATTCACTGCTACCTGTCAACACTGTTGGAGGAAAACACCAACAGAATGGCCCATAACATTGGTATATACCGAGGATAATACATATAATTATGTAGTATCTTAATACATTTGGAAAATAGGTGTGTATGTTTCTGTTATGTGTTGTGAGTAGGAGGTGTGGTATTTTATGGATGCATAGTCACTTGGCAGTAAACCAACTTGACTCACTCAGTGGTTCTATGTAGAAATTTGTCCTCTTCAAGTTCATCAGAGTATTTTTCTTCTTCAAATTGTCTGGTATTTTAGGAAGTAGTTTATATAAAAACTATTTCCTCCAAGGTTTTTAAACTTTTCTAGTATAATTGGATCTAAAACTAATATGATAATAAACTTTTCAGCAATACGGGGCATTTTTTACTCAGGCTACTTGGAATTGTAAAAGGCCATTGAATTATATTAGTAATAGCATTGTGTGAGAAAGCTGGGCAGTAAGTTTTCTGTACTTTCTGGGAGGGTATATTTTTGGTTGAGTTGAAGTTTTTGACAGCCATTAGTTTGAATTTTAAAATGGAGGTTGACCAGGTAAATTGAATGTGAAGTTGACAATATTTTTGTTGCTCAGTGAATGGAACTTTTTTGTAATGAAAAATTGAATTTCTTTTATTCATATATTAAGGACAAACTGTCCCACTAGCTCTCAGCCATAATATTGCTTCCTTCCCTACTGGGAATCGAACTCAGGACCTTTCACTTGCAAGGCAGGTGCAGCACCCCTGAGCTAAATCCCGGTCCTCACAATATTGCCTTTTTAAAATCTTTTGTCAAGTCAAATTTTTACTTGCATGGTATTAAATCATATACATAAAAATATTTGAATGGAAAAGGCATTATTGGCGTGAGTTACTTCTTTCTAGTTTTTTCTTAGGTTTTTCTGTTTTTGTTATTGTTCTGGGGAGTAAATGTGGGTCATTTTGCTCAGGGCATTGTATATGCTAACCATATACTCTTTATTACACAGCTACATTCACAACTCGACTATTTTTTTTTTTTGTAAGTAGCTTCGTAGAGATATGTTTCATGTGCCATGAAATTTACCCACTTGAAGTAGGTAATTCATTGATTTTTAGTGTCTTCATAGAGTTGTGCAACCATCACCTACTTTTTGTGTCTGTTAGGTTTGCCTGTTCTGGAATTCTTATGTAAGTGGAGTCAATATATGGTCATTTGTGTTTGGCTTCTTTTACTTAACATGTTTCTAAAGTTCTTTATTTTTTAGTATATGGTATTATTTCATTCATTTTTGTGGTGGAATAGTAAGTACTCCCTTGTGTATACCACATTTTGTTTAATTACCACATTCATTGGATTCATTGGATATTGGATTTTTTGGCTGTTATGAAATGTGCAGCTTATGAAAGTGGTGTACAACTTTTCATTTGACAGTGGTTGTATCATTTAATATTTCTATCAGCTGT